AAAAAAAAAAAAAAAAAAAAAAAAAAAAAAAAAAAAAAAAAAAAAAAAATTTTTTTCCCAGCGGGGCCTGGCCGAGCAGAGGAGGGGAAAGGCAGGAAATCTGCAGATGCCACTTTTATTGCTCTGCTGTTCCCAGCCAGCGTCCCACCGCTCTCCCCCTGCCCGGCACAGCCTGTGGCTGCCTGTGTGCAAGGAACCAGACCCAGCAGCAGAGGCAGGTGACAGCATCGTTACATGGCCGCACACCCCCTGAGCTGTATTAGGAAACTTTCCAAATTGGAATTATTCAGATTGTAATAAAACCTTCTGAATAATTTTCCGTTATGTTTTGGCCAGCAGATGAAACTGGAGGTGTTCCAGGAGAGCTGTGGCGGCGTGTGTGTGGGCCAGTTCAGCCCAGCCACGAGATGAGGACCCGTCGCAGCCAGGAGCTGGGCAGTTGGATGGCCACGGCGCCCTTGCGCCTCGCTGGGGGTGCTGGTGCGGCTGGGACCACGGGGCTGCTCTGTGTGCCTCCCCGGGAGGCAGTGGTGCCCCCAGCGCTACCTCCCACCGTGCGTTCACCTCGCCCAAGTGAGCGGCTGCTCCTTGTGTTTAACCACAAGAGACGTGGGGATGCAGGGCCCAACTCTGCACCCTCCAAAGCACCAGGATCAGCAGGAGGAGGAGAGCGCTGCACGGAGACCCGAGAGGCAGAGTGCCTTTCCTGCTGTCCAGGCAGGAGACATTTCAGTGAAGAACCTCGTGCTTGAGCTGTACTGAGAAGCATTTTCAACAGCCCTTGGGAGAATGGAGCAGCTTTCTCCCTGTGACTTCCCTCAGGAACTGTCCGAGTGCTCCGTTTTGGACTATCTCCTAACCCATCAGCCGTGGTTTGGCTCTTTGACAGGCACAAATCACTCACCTTCTGGCACGTGGAGGCCAGTGGACGAGACCTCAGTTCTGGGGAGACACACGAGGGCTTTGCTTTGCCCCCTTGGAACAACTACACTGCCTCAGCAGAGCTCTCCGGCCCAGTTTAGGCACGAGTCTGCAGCGGATCTGCTCAAAGCTAGCAACTACCACGAGATGTGCCAAAGGAAGGTACAAACTGCGATGCAGAACATGAAAACCAAAGATACGGCACGATTTTATTTATGGATGCGTAATAAATAAATGGTGGACAAAACAGGAAGAGCCACATTCAAAAATCCAGATCACTAAAGTGCTTTTAGACATAAATATAGGACGACCAAGAAACAGCTCTGACATTAACACTTTTTACAGACAATTACAAAATATCTTCTTATGTCAATTCACAAAATTGTTTAGTTGCTCCAGGGTACTATGGCTTGGTTTTCAAAAAGGTCTGTTCTATTATGCATAGTATGGCAGATAACATTCAAGAGCGTACAAAATCATTGCATAAACAAAAATGTCTTTACCCCCTTCTCCGAAATATGAGTTAAGGAAGCTACACAGTGTAAATCCAGTGATAAGGCTGCATTGGCAGGCCAGATCCTCAGGAGGTATAAACCGGCGCGTCTGTCAGGTTACACCAGCTTGAGGATGAACCCTACCGTGTTTAAAAACCCTGCTGCTCCTCGAGGTGGAAGAATTCCGTGTTCAAAGCGGAGGGACTTGCCACGCGGGCGCCGTGCAGGGGTGGGAGTGCTCGGAGAAGGCGTCTGTAAACTCCCGCACCCTCTGTGCACCCGTGCGTTTGAGAAGGGAGCAACTCCCATTGCATCGCTGCTCTTTGTGCTCCTGGCTGGCCAGGGAAGTGTTCACAGCCCAGAGGGGAAGGGTGGCTCTTCCCCAGCAACCGTCCACGCTGACCACAACGCGGTCTCGTTTCCGCACTGTTCTTGGCCCCGTTGGGACGCCTCTCCCACCCTCCACCCCGGCTCTGCTGAGAAGTGAACAGCTGGAAAGTGAGGGGACAAGGGGATGTGTGTGCCCAGTTTTAAAATGCCCTGAATTCAGATAAAAGTTCAATTATTTAAGAAAAAATATATATATCAATAAATCAATAAATAGTATTATCTCGCCAGGAAGCTGTGAGGCCTGGCCTCCTCCGGGGCAGCCCAAGCTCAGTGGTCCCTGTCCTTCTGCTCTGTGGGGGGCTCCCCATTGATGCACTGCCTCAGTACACCCCTCTTCTCGTGCTTGGCTGTCCTGGAGAGGTCGATGGCTGTGTCCTCCAAATCTTTTGCAGGGCCAAGCTTGTCGGAGCCCCTCTGAGAACTGGCCTGCTTCCCTTTGAGTTCCTCCTCCTCCTGCTCCGCTCGCCAGCCATCTGCCAGCTTCTCTTGGCTCTCTGCCTTCCTGCTCACCTCCATGGACTTTTTGTGCATGCCTTGCAGAGGGGAGAGAGCAAAGCCAAGAGCGCTGGTTGCTTATTTCTGCCCGGGACCGCTCAGCATCACCCCCTGCCCTCCTGCTGCTTCTTTCAGCTCTCGCTTGCATCCCGAGGAAAACTCACGCTAGCTACCAGCCTTCCCCGACCCGGAGCCCTGCCAGCTGCTCTCTGCAGCCCGATGGGATGGCTTGCCGCAGAACTGGTCCGTACCTCCCCTGCAGCAGGGAAGACTTCCAGGGAGAGGGGTGCTGTGACGGCCCATCCCAGCCTGGATTTCAAGCGCCGCCTCAGTGTAGGACCGTGCATGAGCAGAGGGTCGCTCTGAGGTAGCATTATTTTTAGTTTGGGGGGGAGGGTGATGACTTCCTAGACGCCCTGCAACTCCCATCACGCTGGCTGCTAGCACTAGGAAGCCGTCCCTAACCACGCACAAGCACCTGTCTGATATGGCAGTAAAAGGTTTTCCCTGTGAGGAGGGAGTGGAAAAGCCACGGCGCTCGCCAGCCTGCGTACAGCTCATGGCCGAGGCGCCGTTCTTTTCTGGGAAAAGGCAAGGACGGCCATGCGAAAGAGGAAGGGACGTTCGCTCCGCAGCCGCCCCCCTGAATCCCCCAGCCCCAAGCTCCCCCTTACCCAGCAGCCACGGGGCGCAGGATCCCACCAGCCCGCTCTTGGCGGAGTTGATGATGGACTCGGGCAGAGGGATGGAGTGCCTCACCATGGCCCCGTAGAGGCCGTACTCGGCCATCACGCTGCTCCGGCCCCAGCACTTCTCCCGCTTCCGCCACTTGGCTCTTCGGTTCTGAAACCAAACCTTCAGGGGTAACAGCCAGGAGAGCACGGAGGGGTGGGATTGGGGAGGAGACGGCCCCCGCGGCCGGGCGTCCAGGGCCCGTTGGGCACGGGGGAGAGTGCGTCCGGGGCAAAGGGGCAGCCGCGGGGGTGCGTGGAGGGGTTTGGGTGTGCGAGCGTGGGGTGCGGACGCACCAGTGGTGACAGGAGAGCAGCCAGGGCGGTGCGCGGGGAGAGGGGTGAGGGAGGGCACACACGTGGGTGTCAGTGAGAGGGGGGAGGAAGGGGGGGAGAGGGAGCACACGTTACAGGAGGCTGATTGTGGCACAGGAGGGTGATCCCAGCCAAAGTCACCCTACGCTCCGCCTGCCCCCAGGGCCCCTCCGCTGCCTCTGCACGGAGCACCGACCTCTCCAGAAAAAGGGGTCCATAATGCAGTGACCGATGATGACAGAGGGTGCTGAGGTCCCTCTCCCCACCCCCTTCCTGCGTTGGAAGGCTCAAGGGGTGTAGATACAGCCTGGCTGCTGCCCAGACTACCACCCCATTCTTAAGCTATTCCACAGTGGGGCAGGATCAGGCCCTAAAATACCACGTGTCCCTCAAAGGGCCAAGCTACTGAGCAAGCTGGCGGGACACAGCCCAGCCCAGCAGCTCCTGAATCGCTCTCAACTCCTGCCCGAGTTGGGTCTCCAGAGCCAAGCTGCCGGCAGCGAGCCGCTGTCAGGGCCAGCTCGGTCCCCTGGTTCTGCATTTCCATTTGGAGCCTGTTCAGCGCCGGGGGGTGGAAGCTGAGCCGCCCCCACAAGCGTCCTGCAGCATTTCAGTGCCACCACTTTCCCACCACCCGCAGCATTTCAGTGCCACCACCCTCCCACCACTGGCCATAGAGCAGAAGAGACAGCCGGGCACCGGCAGCCCGCAGACTCCACGGCGCAGCCACCTACCTGTATCCTGTCCTCCGGCAGCTCCGTCTTCACGGCCAGCATCTCCCGGGCATAGACGTCGGGGTAGTGAGCTTCGTTGAAAGCCTTCTCCAGTTCCTCCAGCTGGTGAGCTGTGAACACCGTCCTGCCGAGAGGAGAGAGCGTCCCGTGAGACGATCCAGACCCTCACGGCGAGCAGCGGGGCTGGCAGCCCCCTCCTGAAAATCCTCCCCCCACCCCGGCTGCAAGCCCTTCTCTTTTGTCGCGCCCGTGGGGACACCCACCGCCCGGGCCTGGGGACCAGAGGGACAGCGGGAGGCGAGAAGGGGGACAGCCCCGCTCTCGGGCTCTACCTGTGCCGGCGTTTCTTCCTCTTGACCTGGGAGCTGGACATCTTCATGTCGCCGGCGTCCCCGGACAGGCTGTCCTCGTCTGGCAGCAGCGGCATGCGGGAGGGGAAGAGTCACATTCCCGTCGGGAGCAGGGGGGACCAAACCCCGCTCCCCAAACACGGCTCCAGCTGCCGGCGGGGCGCGGGCCCGGGGCGGGGGGCCCCTCCCCCCAGCGACCCGCGGCGCCCGGGGGGGGGGCGGGG